CAATCCCCTGCAAAATATTTTCTAGGCAATTGTTTTATTTGGAAATCATTTTCTTTCCACCCATTTTCCACACTTGCAATCAAACGCACCCTTATAATTTCTATAATTCTACTATATTGTGACTACTTTGTATTCTATATATTATTTGTTATGGACCCATTTGCCACCATAATGTAAAACGATAGTTATTTCTATGCCTGCAAAAAAACAAATAATTTAAATTATCACTTTAATAGACACTTTCCATGTAAAATAAAGCCAAACGAATAGAAAATTTAAAAATTTTTCGGGTGGAAAATTATATCAATCAAACACACTTAATCACCAATCCCCTGCAAAATATTTTCTAGGCAATTGTTTTCTTTGGAAATCATTTTCTTTCCACCTATTTTCCACACTTGCAATCAAACGCACCCTTATAATTTCTATAATTCTACTATATTGTGACTACTTTGTATTCTATATATTATTTTTTATGGACCCATTTGCCACCATAATGTAAAACGATAGTTATTTCCATGCCTGCAAAAAAACAAATAATTTGTTACACATTTTAGAACATTAATAACGGCTCGATTTGAAATCCGTTGCTTTTTTCAACTAGAAACCCTTTCATTGTAAATCACTGAAAATTTGTGAAAATTTTTGATAATGAATTGATGTAAAATTGTAGAAAAGTTTGGTAGCAAATCTGGGGAAGAATTGGGGCTGAATCAATTTTCAGATTTTAATTTTTATTTAAGTTTCGATATGGTCACCAAATTTAGGGTAATTATACGTTTATCCATTATTTTATTCCCCATTTTGGGCCATTGTTGTCATGGACCTGTTGGGCCGAAATTCAAATTTAGGCTTTGTATTCGGATCCAGCCCATTTCGAAACATTTAAATACCACAAAACCCTAAACCTGAAAATCCTAAGCTCCGTTTATTCGCTGCGGCCGAACAACCCTAGGGATCTCTCTGCTTCAGGCGACTAAGAAAAATCAATCATGGGTAATTTGCCAGATAATCATAATCTACGTCTCTGTTTCACATATGATTTGATTCGACAATTAACGATAATGCGATTCGATTGTGTAAAATGCAGGTAAGGTTCATGGATCATTGGCTCGTGCCGGAAAGGTCAGAGGGCAGACTCCGAAGGTGGCGAAGCAGGATAAGAAGAAGAAGCCACGTGGCCGTGCCCACAAGCGGATGCAATACAACCGCCGCTTCGTCACTGCCGGTAAGCCTTATTTGTTTGGATGCTAAGATTTTGTTTTATTTTCTCAATGGTATTGTTTATGCGAGAAAAAAACTCTGAATTATAGATTTATGTGGTTTTTTGGCTTCTAGAAGTTTAGTACTCCAATGAAATTGTTGTTACTAATTTGTTGGACACAACTTCTGCTTTGCATCCTTTTAATCTATTCAATGTTAGGGAATTCGAAGTCTTTAATTTTGAGTTAAGGATTGCTTATTTTTTTCATTGAGATTTGGTCAGTAAACTATATTTGGTTCTCAGAGAATTTGTATAGATACAGCCACCTTAGTTAGAACACAGAACACACCCTTAAAACCTTCTTGCCCAGAGTGTACAGTTAGTTATAACTTACCAGTTAGTTATAACTTATAAGTACAAGCCAAGTCTTAATGCAAGATGCATTTAGAGTCTTTCAATCAATGTCTTCTCTTGTAATTGAGATTTACAGGGTTCCATATTTCCGTGTAGGTGACTCCGTCGAAATAGTTTTGACTGGAAATAGCTTTTTTTAAGGATGTCCTGTACTGTGATTGAATCGGCTTACGGCGTGCATGGTATTAATCTAATTGTTTCAACCACATTTGACAAAACTTACCTCCAAATAGGCATGTTAGAAAAGGTGCCCCAAGTAGTTAAAGCCTCCAAGCCAGGCATATGCAATTAGAGTCACATCCATGTTTCATAGTAGGTGAGTCCATGGAAATAGTTTCGACTGGAAATGGCTTTTTTTAAGGTTCTTTTGTCCGTAATTGAGTCGTCTCAAGACATGCATGGTATTAATCTAATTGTTTCAACCACATTGGACAAAACTCTCCTTCAATTTTCAAATAGGTCTATTAGAAAAAGGTGCCCCAAGTAAATAAAGCATCGACGTTGTTTTGTTTTTGCATTTGCTAAAATCGAAACTATTTTTCTGGGTCTTGAAGAATCTTTAAAGAAAAAAAAACTAATGGTGTCACCTTTTCGTTACGTCCTTTGATACTCTTTTAAGTTTTATTGTATTGCTTTGAATAACTTAACTTATGTATAATATTTATCCAACTTCCATGCAATTTTCTTGTATTGGACGTTAAATTTTTTTTGGGTTGGAAACATAATGCTGCTACTAATTCATGTTTTGCATTTCTACTACTGCTTGCAGTTGTTGGCTTTGGGAAGAAGAAGTCACCAAATTCATCCTCGAAGTAAATCGGAGGCATCAATAGTTCTCTTACAAACTTGGATTAGTTGTTTTTCTATTGTGACATTATGTTGTTAGTATCACGCCAAACTGTGGTGGCATTTTCTCGTTTGGGAATTTGATTGTTGGACAACATTACCAACACTTGGTTTTATCGAGTTTTGAAATCTGGATGATCATTATATGAATTCTATTTGTTTGATTGATACTATGCATGGCTGATACTAGGATTAGTAAATATTAATGAAAAAGTTAATTAGATGTTTTTACGAAAGAGTGGTTTTTTAAATTAATAGTTTATGGGTTTGATTGTTGGCAACCTGAATTGAATTGTACATGTCAACGAGATCTGTGGTCTAAACTCATTGAGCCCCTGTTTGGCCCCCATTATTTGGCATTTTTGATAGTTGAAAATTTTTGGAATAGTGATTGATGGGAGAATGTGTGGTAGAAAAGTAATGAAAAGTTTTAGATTTATATGTAATATTATTTTATTTGATGAATGTGTGATTGTAATAAAGAGAGAAACATTTAATGTAATGTAATTTAATTTAATGGGGGTCAAACATGGGCTGAATCATAAATATTTGGATAATTTTGTTCTATAGAAAAAGAAAGGTAGAGTATTTTGCTGCCTTTAGATAATTAGATGTCGAAAGTATTTTGGAATTGTTTCATTCAAAATAATTATGATTTAAATATTAAGCGTATGTTTGGTTCCTATTTTTTGCCTTTGAAATGTGATCCTCAGTCGAAGATTGCGTCTTCTTCGAGTTGATAAAGCTACTTCGTTAGAATAATTTGACGGAGAACTTGACTTAATTGCATGTAGCAATAAATGATTAAATGAAAATGTTGGCCTTTTTTTTTTTTTTTTTTCAATTTTGTAAACTGTTATGTCGTGGCATTATATTAATCTTGATGTTCAGGTAGCATGATTGATTTTTAAAATACAATATTTGTTAAGTGAAACCTTATGGGTTAAAACCATTTTTAGATTAGCAAGATTTTGAATCAATGCAAAAGAAGGGAAGAATCCGTGAAAGAGATGATGAATTAGGAATTTTAAGGTATTGATGGATGATTTTGGGCAATAATGGTGAAGAGAATTAAGACTTCAAATCCCCTTGATAGGGTTCTAATTGTAATTTGAGAACAAAATCAGAACCAGAGAATAAACTGCTGTTTGATTGATGAAAACTAAAGAAAATTACAGAACTGGAAAAGAACTAGTAGCCATTCGAGAGGGCTAAAAGCTGCTAAATCTTCAGTAGACTCTTTAAACATGAAATGTTCCCTATTTTAAATAGTCGATATTTAAAATCATGTTTCAAGAGACTTTTTAAATTAACATTTTAATATAAAGAGTGGGTATCCACTCTCTATAATTAAATGCATTTAAAGTGTTTTAATTTTCAATGTAGAAAAAAATAATTTAAAGAAAGCTAATTAAAATGAAATATAAAGAAAATTAATAAATATTTTTGCGCCAAAATGAAATTGGCGAGCTCGTTGGGTGAGCCGAACTAGCCTGCTTGCTTGTGCTGCTCGACCCGTTTGCCACCACTACTTATCACCCTCTTTTTCCCCTTTAATCCTTAAGATTTGAAATTGGGGGAAAAAAATGAAGCGAATCCACAACTCTTGATCTTAAAAACGTCCCTATCATATGATGTCCATTAACGTATTTGGATGGTTTCGTCTTCGGAGATAGGTATACAACAAAGGAAAATTCCCTTAGTACAGGGAATTTTTCCAGAAACTTACCAGAAAATGATTGTGGCTTTTGATTTTTTTTTTTTTCCGCCTTTTTGTATAAATCCTGACATTTGATTTCAAAAATCTGGCAATTGTCTGGCAAATCTTTCTGTACCTATAGCACGGTTCTACAACAAAAGTTAAATATTGAAAATCAACTTTTTCTTTTTTAAATACTGAACACGCGTACAATTTCTAAAATAAAATTGTATTACATTATTTTCATATTATATTATTATGTACAAAAATCAAACAAAATATTTTCCGATACTATAAATCAAGTTCTAAAAGGGCACAGGTCGTGGTAAGATGACAATGTCAAGTTTCAAGTTTTACGAATTTTATAGTTGCCTAAACGCAGTTCACACTAACACATTTTTTCCATTTTTGTTGTATTTTTAAAACTACTAATATATTTTAACATCAATAATCTATGGCTTATCTGATCTGAAGACACGTTATACAAAATTTTCATATTATATTATGGAATACGTATTATATATGTGCTCGCCGACTCGCGGCGTGTCTTTACTCCGAAGGCAAAATCCCAAGCCCTTAATTGGAACTGCAGTTGATTTCCGTCAGACGATTTATCGATCCGATAGCTGAATTGAAAACTCTCTCTCTCTCTGTTTCGAGGTATGGTAGGAGATGTTTATTTTTCCAGATGAAATTATAGTAATTTTCGTTTCTCGGAATTGTCGAAGGAGCAGAATTTAGAACTAGCTTTAAGTTTTAAGTTCCTTTTAATTATTATTGCATTTTTAGTTGAGAATTGTCTTGATTGATACAGAATCTAATCAGATCGTATCGAATATGTTTCCTCGGATTTTTGGCAAACCTAAGCAAGAGACTAGTGCTCTCATTACACTTGACAAATTAAATGAGGTATGGTTCTTTTTTTGTGATTATGAATATTTTTTATGAAATTATGCATCGATTTGATTTGGCATATTGATGTTCAACGTGCTCTGCAATTACAGAAGTGGTACAACTGTGGAATTCTTTGAATGATTGCTTATTGTCAATTTAGTTCACTATCTTTTACGGGAAACTCTTTGTAACGATGCAGCTGTGAAAATTTTCCCGAGAACTCTGATCTATTGAGAACTTTCTTCTGCTCTCATGATATTATCTGTAGACAGAAAATGGGCCTATATAATCATCCAAAGCAGTGTCAACTTTGGGTTTTAATTACTATGCATGCATAGATAAACATCCACGTGTAACTTTTCTTTCTTTCTTGTGGAAACATTTATTCCTCAATCTCACATATCGCGAACTGATGGAATATGTTTTCGGTGCCTTCTCTTCCAATCCATGATATATTTTCAATAAAACTTATCTTTTTCCACAGACCACAATAGATAGTCCTTTTTATCTTTTGTTTCTGGGAACAGGTTTCACCCTCCTGGACTCTTATATAATTTTCTTCATTAAAAATAAAAAATAAAAATCTCAAGAATTTACATGGCATGCTCAAGGGAGAAGATTTTGGGATTTCATCCCCATCATTGATTACAGAAAAAACTTAGACTAAGCGAGAACAACGTACGATGCAGAAGAAGTGACAAATTCCGTGCTTTATCGTTTTCAGTAACTTCATGCTCCACTGTTACATTGGTATCGTGAGCTTTATTTTGTGCTTCAGTCTTCATGCTTACAATAGTGACCTTTCTTTATGTACTCAAGTTGATGTGTATTAATCTACTGCTAAAGTGATGGAAAAAGTTCTATTCCAAGCTTCTTGTGACCCCAAATATTTGATTCTATCTGATATTTTACCCGTAAAGTTTATTAGTTTGTGAATAACTTTATAAGGCAAACTCTACACAATGGTTGATACTTGATAGATTAGTTCTGTTTTAAAGTACTGACTGGTGGTTTTTTTGAAGGATAAATTATCAATAGGATGATCTTCTTTGAATGAGGACGTCAAGATGGATATTTGGTCTTACTGGAATATAATGAAGTAAGAATTGAGAATATAGGCAAACAAGTGAAAGTGGTACAAATCCAAGATAAATGATTGCAAAAATGATACAAATCTATCTTAAATTAAGGGGAAAACGACTTAGTTGCAGGGGGCATGTCTTATGTGGACCTAAAGACACTCTTGTATCAAAAGTGATGCAATCCTGTTTTAGAATTGGTTAGAAAGGCTAGACCGAAATTAACATGGACTAATGTAGTTCCAATTAATTTAATTTCACTGAATGTTCCCTTAGATAGGAGAAATTTAGCATGGGGTGGAATGGAGTGACCATAAAGGATTAACAAATTAATTGAGAATAAGGTTTATGTTTCTATTACTTTATGTGTTGCCTACAATCTACACATCCACATACTCAAGATTTCATTCTTTGCCTTGGTAGACTCTTGAGATGCTCGAGAAGAAGGAAAAAGTGCTCCTGAAGAAGGCTTCTTCTGAGGTTGAGAAGGCCAAGGAATTCACAAAAGCAAAAAATAAAAGAGGTATAACCACAACATTCTTTTGGATTCCTGCCCAATTTTAGCATTTGTATTTCCGGTTTTATCCATTTTAGAGTTCAATATTCTGATATGAAGTTGCATGTGAGACAAATAGTACAAACATCTACTTTGTGCCTATTCATGTAGTTTTTTGCCTCAGCAAATCTGTACTTCACTGTTACACTTTGATGACATAAATTTTCATTTTGCATATAGGTTTATTTCATATCTGGTTCACTTGCTAGTCAATATACATAGATCACCTAGTAATTTTACTCATGATTCTGTATGTTAATTTGTCTACTGATTATGTGATTTTGGAACTTTGGAAACAGTTAAGCAGTATATCTACGCCAACTTTTTGACATTATCCATGATAATTCTCCCATTTTTAACATTGAGAACAACCCGTGTGTGGATTTAGCTTCGCTTAGTCACCCCTCCTACTATTAATTTCGCTTAAAGCAAGAAGATTTAAATTGATTAAGATAATGTATTAGGCATGTGCAGTTTTATGTGGTTTGTGGCTTACATGTTGATTTTTACCTCTTGTTGATCAGTTACTCACCAACGTCGAGACAAAACATAGGATTTGTTAATTTTAGCACGGAGAAAATTTGTTTGTGTAGCTGTTTTTACTGGAGAAATTCTGCCTTAGGCCCTGTTTGGTACACATTATTTTTTTCATTCTCATTTTTCTACTCATTTTCAACCACACATTCTTCAATAAAATAATATTTTCCATCTCATCAATAACTTTTCCTTCATTTTTAACCACACATTCTCCATCAATCTACTATTCAATAATACATTCTTTCAAAAGAATGTGTCCCAAACACACTCTTAGTTTTAGACTTTTAGTTATGGTTCTGTTGAATCTGTTCATCCCATTTGCAAGTTTTAACATATTTAGAAGGCTCTTTGTTAACTCTGGAACAAACTTACGTAAACCAAATTATTGTACAGCGGCTATACAGTGTTTGAAGCGGAAGAGACTCTATGAACAGCAAATTGAGCAGCTTGGAAATTTCCAACTACGCATCCATGATCAGGTTGACTCAATTTTTTATGTTCACATGCACTGAATGGTGCTTCCTTCTTGTCTAATGATCTTTTTCTAACAAAATCTGCCTGAGTACACATTTTAAATGTTTCTTTCTGTAGATGATAATGTTGGAAGGTGCCAAAGCAACTACTGAAACAGTGGATGCTTTGAGAAGTGGAGCAGCTGCAATGAAATCTATGCAGAAAGCAACGTAAGTATATGGTTAAAAATATGCTAAATAGACGGTTTAAACTATCTTTTTAAGAATTTTTAGTCAAGCACTTGGTATATGCTTTTGTGTTGTTTTTCTATTTGCTGTAATTATGAATCAGGCATAATTGCATAATATGGTGTTCGGTACAGTTATATGCATGACAGCATGAGAATAGATAAATTGCGTACTATTGATGTTTGTCATCTTCTCAATACGTATATTCTTTAGCAACTCAACTTTGACATGGCTTATACATAGGAACATTGATGATGTTGACAAGACAATGGACGAGATAAACGAACAAACAGAGAACATGAAGCAGATACAGGAAGCCTTGGCTACCCCCATTGGTGCATCAGCTGATTTTGATGAGGTTCTTTGCTTATATCTAATTCTACTTGTTTGAAGTTTTATTTATATTTGAAGTTGATACACACGAGTTATATAAGCAATTTAACGTCATAAACTTTTTCATTATTACAGGACGAATTGGAGGCCGAGCTTGAAGAATTGGAAGGTGCAGAGTTAGAGGAACAGTTTCTTCAGCCTGCAACCACGGCCCCTGCTGCTCCAGTTCACGTCCCAGAAGGCAGAGTACCTGCTCGCCCTGCTCCTCAGAAACATACAGAGGAAGACGAACTTGCCGCTTTGCAAGCAGAGATGGCACTCTAAGCAAGTCTAAATTCCCTGGTTTAACTGGTAAATTCAGATGTTAAAATGTTGTCTATAATAATGCGCAGAACCGATGTACTAACAAATACTGCATACTAAACTTGCCAATTTTAAACGACGCGTAGAGAGATTTTCATATCGTCTCAGTTTTCTGCAGGTAACGTTGGAGGAGATTACTATCCATATTTTGAGTGGAGAATCATTCTGCCTGCTGTTTTCGCATTTGTGGGATCACTCTATGTACATAATGGTCTGGTATAACTAAAAAAGTTTCTTTAGATATCGTAATCTATTGCTATGGTTATAAGAAAATTTCCCAGAATTTTACACAGTATGAATAATTTTCAACAACCTAATGCGTTTAATACTTTGTACAAAACCTTGAAGAGCAATGGAATGAGATTAGTATAGCTGTTAGTGTATAATCTATAATTATGGAGGTATTTACAAAAGATGACCCCTTCAAATTTAAGGTGATGCTATAAAACTAATTTGGTTTTGTAAACTGAATCCTCGAGGCGAGAATTTTTCAATAAGAACTCCAAATAGAGTTCAACACGGTTAATAAGAGCAATGTGGCTTGGGATGAGAATTTTTCGAACGCTACTTAATTAAATGGAGCGTAGAAGTCAAATTTAACTATTCAACTACTCACATAACAATGTGAAAGACTGTTTATAAGTGTATTTTATACACTTATTTTGGATCTAAAATAATGATATTTGATAGTTCTGTGGATAAAATATATCCTAAATTGTTGTATTTTATGTTATATAGGTAAAACTCAATGGTTGGATAATGAATGAAAAGAAAGAAGTGAAAACGGTGAAAAATGGCAAAATTCAAAGTTTGAGGATCAAATTGAAAATTCAATAGTTGATTTGGACCACAAAATGATACTTTGAAGATTTCTAAGAGACAATTTGATTGAATTAGAATTCAAAACGTAATGGAATATGATTAAAATCAATTTTCAATCGCACAAGTTATATTTCAAATTTTTAGTCGAGAATTGAGACCCATTTTTGGAATAGTAAACGTCCGAATCAGGAAAACTCTATTTCTAGAACAATTATAGTCCTTTGAGTTAGCTTTCCAACGCACTTTAAATTGCATCAATTGGATATCTGGAGAGAAAGTTATAGTCGGAATACTGAATGCTGTACAGAGAAAAAAATCCGCAAGCGAAGATAGCTTTCCTTATTCGTTGAGAACTCTTTTGAAGTCAATTTGGACGTGATTTTCAACCAATTTTGACTCCTACAAATACTTAACAGCAGAATACATATTGAAACATTTCATGTACATATTATAGTATTATTCATCAATTATTATCATCAAATGAGGAAAACTCATAATTTTTGTGAGAGAATTGAAGAAGATTTGCAAGAATTTAATTAAGTGAAGATTCAAATCTAATTTTTGGGCAAAGAAGAGAAGACGCAAGTGGAGATTCATCAAGAAACCATTGAAGAGATTCAAGATTTCAAAATTCATCTTCGTTTTCTTAATTTATCAAAAATTTGGGTGATATCTTTTCACTTAAATATGATTTCTTGTAATTTCAATATGTCAGGTTAAGTTTATACATTGTTAGGATGGGATGAACTATTGTTATGATATTTTTAGTTTTTAATTAATTATTTTGACTTTAATTTGATTTTATTTGTGGATGTTTATTATTGTTTTATCGTTCTTTTCAATTACTTGATCACCAATTGAATTGTTAGTGAATTTTATTGTTATCGAGAGAGATAATAGGATTTAAGCACAATATAATAAATATTGTAAGGTTCGATAGAGGATAGAGATATACATCTATACTTTATATGGTTTCAATAGGTGTTCTAGTATTTGTTAATGCATTTATCATGTTTGCATCTTTTATCGAGAGATAGAAGGGTCACATGAGGGGAATAGATTTGATCGTTATCGAGAGAGATTTTTAATTAAATTAAGAACATTGATCAACATAAATGATTTCGAATTGTCACTTTAATTGTTATACTAAAAATAGAATAACAATGGGGGGATTTGACATCTTAGCAATTCATTTTACATATTTAAAAAACACATTTACTTACTTACATTAGTTTAGCTGATAATTTAGGTATTAGTATAGAAAATCATAAAATTTGTTTGCTATTCGATTAAAGTTGGAATTAATTTTAACTCGATCAAACACGTAGTTCTCTTGGGTTTGACACTTTATTCACTACTTTATTACTTGTTCACGATCCCTTTCACTTGCAGGAAATCAAATGATCAAGTTTCCAAAAACTTTATCGTTTGAAAACTCGCTAGTGCACAAGATCGTGAACAAGTAATAAAGTAGTGAATAAAATGTCGAATCCACGAGGATTACGTATTTAATCGAGTTCAAATTAATAGTAACACTAATCGAATAGCAAATAGATTTTAAGTTTTCTATACTAATATCTAAATTATCGATTAAATTAGAAAGCAATTTAATTTGTTTGAATTCAAATATGTGAGTTGCTAAGATGTCGAATCCCCATTTTTATTCCATTTTTAATGTAACAATTAAAGCGACAATTTGAAATCATTTATATTGGTCAACGTTCCTAATTTAATTGAAAGTCTCTCTCGATAGCGATCAAATCTACTCCCTTCATGTGACCTTTCTATTTCTCGATGAAAGATGCAAACATGATAAATGCATTAACAAGTACTAGAACACCTATTAAAACCATATAAACCATATATGTATATCTCTATCCTCTATCGAATCTTATAATATTTATTATAATCTGCTTAAACCCTATTGTCTTTCTCGATAACAATAAAATCCACTAACAATTCAATTAGCGATCAAACAATTGAAAAGAACGATAAAACAATAATAAACATATACAAATCAAATCAAATTAAATTAAAGTCAAAATAATTAATTAAAAACTAAAAATATCATAACAAGGGTTCATTTCAGCCTAACAATATATAAAATTAGCCTAACATATTGAAATTACAAGAAATCATATTTAAGTAAAAAGACATCACCCGAATTTTTGATAAATTGAGAAGATGAAGATAAATCTCGAAATCTTGAATCTCTTCAATGATTTCTTGATAAATCTCCACTTGCGTCTTCTCTTCTTTGCCCAAAAATTAGGTTTTAGTCTTCACTTGATTAAATTCTTGCAAATCTTCTTCTATTCTCTCACAAAAACTATGAATTCTTCTCATTTGAAGATAATAATTGATGAATAATGGAGTATAATATGTACATGAAAGGTTTCAATATGTATTATGCTGTTAAGTATTTATAGGAGTCGAAAATTGGTTGAAAATTACGTCCAAATTGACTTCCAAAAGAGTTCTCATCGAATAAGGAAAGTTATCTTCGCGAACGGATTTTTTGTCTTTGCACAACATTCCGTATTTTGGCCATAAATTTCTCTTCCGATATCCGATTGATGCGATTCAATGTGAGTTGGAAATCTAACTCAAAGGGCTACAACTGTTCTAGAAATAGAGTTTTCCCAATTCGGACGTTTACTATTCCAAAAATGGGTCCCAATTCTCGACTAAAAATCTGGAATATAACTTGTGCGATTGAAAATTGATTTTAATCATATTTCATTCCCTTTTGAATTCTAATTCAATCCAATTGTCTGCTAGCAATCTTCAAAGTATCATCTTGTGGTCCAAATCAACTATTAAATTTGCAATTTGATCTTCAAACTTTGAATTTTGCCATTTTTCACCAATT